ACTACACAATACACAATACATACAGACGTACACGCACATGCACTATCAACATCGAAACGAATCAGTCGGTCAGAACATCTGATGGAAGTCATCTCCTCGTCACTCACTCACCACTCATTACCATACACGATAATAGTTCGATACATTGAGACGATGTTGTCTGTGACTGTGTCTAAGAAAGCAACTGTGACTGGTCGGCGTTGTGAATTGAACAAAGTAACTTCAAAGATGTATTGTTTGGGCACAACATACACAAGGATAAAAGTGAGACCCTCAAACGCAAAACGGAGAACACCAACCCAATCACACTTGGTGGAGAAGAACTGGTATCGGTGAAGACTTTCACTTACCTAGGGAGACCCATCGATGTTCCTATAGTTGAAGAACATATGAAACTCAAAACAACCGTCAGACAGCATCAAAGCGAGAACTTTCAAGACTCTTCAAGAATCGTCAAGACAATTCTGTTGTACGGAGCTGAAACTTGGAGAACTACTACAACCATCATCGAATGGTACAAATATTTGTAAACAATTGTTCCGTTGACCAGATACCATCAGCAACAGCCTACTGCGAGAGAGGAGAAACTAGCTTCTAGCTGAAGAGGAAATTAGGAAACGACTTTAGAAGTAAACAGGATAGACATTGAGAAAATCATTAAACTGAATCACAAGGCAAGCACTAACTTGTAATCCTGAAAAGAAACGGAATAAATGAAGACGAAGGAACAATCTGCTTTATGGATTGGCAGCAGACATGAAAATGATGCATAGCAACTAGTTACAACTGGTAAGAATTTCTGAAGATAAAGGTCATTGACGAGTCCTGACGATTGACACATGCTACTCCTCGAACGTTGACAGGCATAAGTAACTTAGTATCTAGCTCCGTCACACGCAGTTCATGTCATTTTTTTAAAGTAACATACATATACTACATTATTAATGTGAATTACTGCCATCCACACTGAAGATAGCCTATTGTGTTTGATTTTCCTGCACAATGCTATCTATGCACCTAATGCAGTGACATTGAATTTTCATGCAGTGACCCCAAAGATTTTGCCGATAAACTTACGGTGCAAAGATGTTCGTACACTTTTATTAAACAGCATTTTTTACAAGTTTCTTCATAATCTAAATGATTTTTGAGGTTGGTGATATAGTTTTATAGACTAACCATTCGATTAGCTTGATGTTAACATACATATTATGGTATAGAGTCTGAATTTCCCAAAGTCACCTAGAGCCGAATTTTTGTCCATCTTACAAGTATTATATTGCATAAAATTATCATTGATCACCCATAAATTTAAGCGAATGTTACTGTCAGCTCGCCATGGGCATGTGTGGTCTATTGGTTGAATATATTGGACAGCAAATAAGAGAACAATGGTCCTGGTGAGTACGGGGACAACAGCTTTTTCATGAAGCTTGCGCTCATATGCGACGATCTGTGACCTCGAGTTATTCAGACATTGGAAAAAATATCAATACATCTGGTCGGGATCACTGACTGATGTCCAAACCTAAGAAGCTTCTGTGGCTTGCATACACCATAAGTCATTATTGTGCTTAACGAAACGATCGTGATTACTGTCTTTAAAGTTCGCAAATTTATGATGGAAATACAGTGATTAGAAAAATGAGTGATGGTAATAATGACCACAATGATAATGAGTGAATCTAACTTATTTGCATGATAGCTTTTAACTTGTCATGTGACTGACAAAGCCCAATCAACAATAGTCATGTCTTGATTCTACATTTACAAAATATTAAACATACTCTCAACACTACTAGGGGAGGGATCAAGCTAAGGGCTATCTAAAATTAAAGCTTACTCATGATTGCGAAAAATGCGTTGATATGCCAAAGTGTCATAATAAGATTCACCGAAGTCACTTTCCTGTGCACAGGGACCTTAGTTTTGTTGATACTAACTCGGGAGTTAACTAAATATTTCCCATGTCATTAACTGGGACGAGGGATGAATAATGTGTTGCGCTTGCGGTTTACTGGTTTATTTGGTCATAAAAGATCTCCATAATATCTAATTTGGTAAAATCTTCGCCATTTGGCACTTGAAGTGCACGAATCCACTGCTTTTTAGGTCAGTTTGTATTTCGGGGTTTGCTTCATTATGGAATATCACCTGTCACTTCGAAATTTGGTGCTGCTTGTGTTTCTCCATGCTAAGTAAGGGCTATGATCAAGACCATTTAGGGAGTCTTTCAACACTTGTTAGGCTCTCTCGTTAGCCGGTAGCAGGCGTTCCGTGCCTTGCTCAACGCTGGATCTTCTCCACAGGTGTATGCTTTGCTTATGCTTGGTTGTCCAAGAAAATATTCTGAATGATATGCACCACCCGCTTCATGAGGCTTGTTAAAGATGATCTTTCACAGTCGTGCAGTGTGCTCTATTGTAGCTAAGTTAGGGAGTGTACTTATCCTTCTGAAGTGTCTCGTCCGTGGCCATGATAAACATCACTGCACCATAGTCACTACTTCCTACCACCGTCCCTTTTTTAAACATTGATTTTCATGTTTTTACCATCAACTAGAGAGTGACTGGGTTATAAAAGTTAAATTATCGCCTTCATTTTCTGATGAGTCGTAGTGACAGTAAAATGTGGTTGGTCACTGAGCGTAGACAAAAAAGCACCTAACCTACTGACTATTAAATATGTGATTTCCTTTCGTCTCATTGATTTCTACTCTGAATGGTAGAAGTATAAACTTAGGGTGATGAAAAAGCATCATTGACCGGATTCACGTGTTAGCCTTAGGGGCAGGTTCATCACTAACATTTGATCATACGTGTCTATAGTGTTCTTGGTTCCTAACCACACGATATTTGAAGCTGAACATATAATTGCTGAGAAAATTTACATCCAACGTGTGACATTTAGAGGAGGTGGACGCAAATACAACTGATCAATATGGAATGGTCTTTCTATGTAACTTATCCCCATGTGTTGGGGATATCCAGAAAACTCCTCAAACATAGTCAATGATAGGTTCTGAAAACACCGAGGAGCATCTTATCCAATCAGCGTTCACTAGACGTTTAGCCAGAAACATCTAGAAGTTGGAAAGGCACGTTTCGAGTTCCTGATTCGATGGTTGCTACACTGCTACTATGTTTTTAGCATTCTAGATTTCTCGGGAAAACCCAAGGACGTCTAAAATACTAGAAAACCCTTTATTTTCTGTACATAAACGATCATTTGAAATGAAGTGTTTCTTGTATATTTTAGGCTTTTATTATCTTGTACAAATCACTGTACGGTTCTAGCTTAGGGGTTACTAGAAGACCTTAGGAACTAAATATAGTGTTCAATTAGCATGACTTATCACTATCTACCCTAAGTATATTATTCTTACTGCAACCGAGAATGTGTTCAGAAGTACTAAACATCATATTGCTGATTTTCATTACAGGAAGAGTCTGTATAGACATCGATATGATTCAAATTAGATAGTCACATAATGACAACTCTATAATTTCGTGATTAGGCATATTATAGTAGCGAATATAAATGTACAAATACTGAACTAGACCATAATCCTTCATGTCTTTGAAGCATCGGCCGATCATTTTGGAGTAAGCAATGGCTACGTTAGGAAGAGGGTACTAGGTAAAGATTAGGAGCCTCTTGATGAGTTAGTATATCTACTGAGTTGGCTGTGATATTTGTTGCTTTTGCTAATCAGCTGCCTTCCTCGATAGGCGATACTATCTGGTTTAACATCAGGTTGGACGAAGAATACAGGAGACCAAATCAAAATTCAGCATTAATTCATGAAGTTACTGACTTAATATCATCCATTTTGGTGGATGCAGACTATATGATGAGGGTTCACACAATTATCACAATTAGTGGTTAGATACTTCGAATGACATAGCCTGAAAATCACTTTCGGTTGCATGGGTGAACCCATTCTTTATCATCCTCTATATTTAAGCGTCTGAATTCTCCATAATTTTACCACTACTTTATACTTCCCTGAATCATATCTCTGATGCTTAATCTTCTTTGTTTCTACTAATTTCACTACGACATCCATTAATTCGGAGTTCGTCTGAAAAATATCATCATATTATTTTCACTTGGTTTAGCAACCTGAAATGATGTACATGTATATTCGGTTCTACGTTTGCTAAGTTTATTGGTTGATTATGTCTGGACAGTGAGTTAAGTAGCAAGTATTATCGAAGGAACGTGAACTTATAAGGAATGGGAAAGATGTTGATGACTACGTTTACCAACTTATCTCATGCTGTGAGACAATCCACAGAGCGCACAAAATAATTTAGTGGCAAAATAGCGCAATTTCAGACTTTAATTTGTGTTAGTGGAAGCCATCTCAACTATCTACAAGTTAGCTCCAGGAGAACAGCTCATTGGAAACACATAGCCACGTGAAATTTCATTGTGTGCATCACCCTCACAGGCAATAACAGTGAAAGGCTTCTCCGTATAATATTTGAGAGAAGTCTGGAATACAGAGTCAATACACGTAAATTACCGTCACGAAGCTTGAATAGTGATCTGGTAGATAGTACGAGACGATATTATATCCATAAATTTTACTTCCCATAAGTGATATGCTATTTCTCTCTCATTACTATTGTTGACAATACTGTTGAACCCTCCTTCCTTTTATGAGAGATTAGAATGTCGTAGAATAAGTAAGCAAGAGTTCAACAACCTGACGGGATTTCCTTCTTAGAAGTAACTAATGTATCTTATCCAGAGTGCCATATCCAAAGATGTAAATAATTTGCTGGTTATAAACATGGTAAACAATTGTCCACGTGACAAATATGGAAGAAAAATAAAAAATACAGACTACGGTAGCAACAAAACAAAAATAAAAATAATTCTGAGGAATTTAGTGATGGAAATCTCTTTTACCAATGCTATGCTTTTTTCGAATTAATGAATTTGTCTGCTTTTTGGCACATATTTAAGCTCTCAACAATCGGTATTCGTTCGTTATTTTTGTACCAAGTGAGTTCTTTTAGAATATTAGTCTTGAAGCTATGTTAACCTTCACGAGTAGTTAAAATGTAATACGTTTCTACCTTATTTGATGCTTTCAGTTAATTATTCACTGAAAAACCCGGAGTATTGTTTGTAGTAATATCAATACATTCAGAATTGTAGTACATTACTTGATCCGAATGAGAGTGTTATAGATTTATTTTATACATATTATACCTATAAGCAGATAATAAGCTCAATGCAACGTAGTCACAAAAGTCAGTTTTACATTCAGCGTATTGATGACTTAATTTCTTGAACTGAATGGTCTCATGCCTGTTCTATTACTTATTAACGTTAGTTTAGGTTTTTATACGAAGCGTTTGTTACAATTTGCCGGTCGAGTAATTCTTCTGACTTCGTGTAACATTTTTCTCTGTGTGCTATCAATAAGGTGTAACAAGAAACACCTGTACGTCTAATGTACATAGTCTTTTTTTCTCGATTTCATAGCATCTTGGCTTTATCATGGTTCAGTATGGCCTGTCATTGTTAACATGATGGCTCTCAGTGTCCTATGTTTGTACAACTATTATTCTTTATTATTTTCCCATACTTGCTAGTTATTTCGTTAAATGTATCACTGCAAGTGGTAAGAAAAGATGTTTTCCATACTTTGAAAAATGCAGAAAAGTAAAGCAAACGAAACTTTGGTGTCTACTTGTATGTCAGGACCTATGCGGGTACTTGCCACTAGGATTTTTATTTTGGGTCCTTTATAAACTGAATACAGGACAGACTTGTCACTGGTCAATACGGGTTGATTCTAATTTGTTAACAGTTGAGCAAACCTTAAGGATATTGACCGACAGCATCACATCTGGCGTGTTTGGTAACTTTTTTCTCTAACTATTTAACAGCTTTTTATAATAACTACACAGATCATTTCTCACACAGTTCCATGTTTTATCAGTCTTGTATTGAAAGACACAGTTCATAGTTTTCATGAATTTTTAACTAAGCTATTAATAATGGAATTTTATAGCTCCAAAGTTAATAGATTCAGCTAGGACTTGTTTGCAATAAATGATGTCTATGGTAATGTTAGAAAGAGGTAATCACTTTGTACATGTCGAGTGATGGTCAGATTTATGGTAACACAGCGAATGACGCATAATAAAGACAATTTTGAAGAACCCCATGATATATAATTTTGTTAAATCATCTCGCTACTTTACAGTTGGCTTCTTAATCCACTGACAATATCCAAGACATTACGTCTGGAACAATTATGTATTCAAAATAAAGCCTTTTCATTTTCGGTGAATGAACTCAGTTTGTTTATTTTTTACTCAAGCTGTATTACGTATGTAATATGCTCAAATACATCAAGCCTACTGAATGATCAATTTGGAGAGACATTAGATATATATGTATTTAGTATGTAGGTGAAACTAGTTGGGTCTAAATAAAATGGTTCAAAATACTATCAAACATTTGGACTCCGTTCTTTCATCATTATGTCATGTTTTGTACTTTCTGTTTTCATGATAGAACATATTTTTTGCCCAAATAGCTCTTACGTATACATAAAATAAAAAACATTTGTTTGATCATAGTATATGGTAAACAGTTATTTGTCTTTCAGAAAAAACTTTCCAACATGTGGACTGAGAGTAGTGAATCACCATGTTTGGGATCAGTGCCAGTCATTAAGGGGAAGTTTGAAGCTATGCCCAAATCTGCCCAACGCTTTGTTGCTAAATGGGTGGGTAATGTTATATATAGACGCTACTGTATCGCACTAAATTATTTTTAACTTTGATTTGCGTAATATGTTTTTTGTCTACAAATTTTGTTGATGCGTTCAACCGTATTCATAGATTTTTTGAAGATTTATTTAGAAGGAACCTAAAAATAGGAGCTCTAACTTGTAATCACACAAACTGACAAATGAACCAATTTTACAATTATTGTATCAGTTATACAATATAATGCGACTTTTGAATTCAATGTAGTTCAGGTATGTCCGAAATAGTTTGATTTCCTTTCACCATATTTTATCGATCGCAGTAAAAACAAAAGTACGGTATGGATTGTTATTGCTACATAGTGTTGAAGAATCATAAAGAAAATGGTTATCATTTTCCTTACCATCTATAGTGGAGTTATTATTCAGTTACTAGCAATACATAGTTCGCTTGGACTGCGAAATGATTACCATAGATAAAAAGGTTACTTTCAGTTATATATATATCATAACTCTGACCACATGATTAAAAATTAAGACGACAAACACTTAACGTGTGAATAAAATATCAATAATAAGATGTCATGGAATTCTAATTATTGTTAACCCTATTATAAGTTATAAATTTTGGTAGGTGCTAATACACGAGAGTTTCATATTGAAATACATAATCTTTTCATAGGATATACCCCATACTTCAAACTGAAATAATTTACTGTCAGTATAATGTAAAAAATATATTAAATAACTAAACAACGTTTAAAGAAGTGATGTATAAATGGCTAGATTTGCAGAACAAGACAAGTTTCAGTGATTACTACAATTTTTAAAGTGCACTCTCTTGAAAACATCATTTAAACCATAAGAGCAAACTTTGATGTACGTTGAATTTTCTAACCTACAATAAATACTAATCTTTTTATTCACACTGAAATTTTTAAGGTTTGTATGATCATTTTTTAAAAATCTCGATAAAATAAAGACTTATAATGTTGCTGATTGGCATTATCTACTACTTTCTCCCTTGTAACTATGAGGAACTACATTAACAAACTTATTATAAAGCAATCAATTTAATCGACTTAATTTATGAGATCCTGGTTTTCCTAAATCTCTAATCTTAAAATAGGGCTAGAGAAAAAGTGAGTCATATGGTATTATATGGGTTTCTAATATTATCATGAATGCACCAACTAAGTATGCACTCTTTATTAAGTTACATAGCACGCATACAAGTAACGGTATCCTTATAAACTGATTATTATCATAAATAACTAGTTTAGCATGCAAATACTATTCATAAAAATATGAATTGTTTAAAATCTACTCAACAGTGCGGAAAATTAGGTAGATTATAAGATTCTTACGAAACAGCCTTCCTTTTGACTTACGCCAGTCTGCCAAGGAAGTTACATTTTTAGATTGAATTTATTTTAGTGTAAATCTGACTATTTTTGCTATAGGCGGCGAATAAATTGGCTTTCCAGTTTCTAATTCTTTTTGATATTGTTTAGTAATATATGTACAGTATGTCACTTAGATGTATCGTTTAGGTTTTAAAGTACATAGTTACATATTTTCAAAAAGATTTTTAGTAATTCTGAAATATCTTATTCATTGTTTTAAATCTTTGTTAAACAAAATCAGGTGGAAATATGTAAACCAACAGGAGTGTACATATGTGATGGAAGCAAAGAAGAACGTGAAGAACTTACGAAAAAATTAGTTGAATTGGGTTCTTTACATAAACTACCACCGTATGAAAACAACTATATCACATGTACTGATCCAAGTGATGTTGCTCGTGTCGAATCAAAAACCTGGATCTGTTCAGAGCATAAACATGATACTGTACCAGATGTAGCTCCAGGAGTTAAAGGTGTTCTTGGTCAATGGATTTCACCTAATGATTTGAATACTGAAATTAAAGATCGTTATCCTGGTTGTATGGAAGGTCGTGTACTTTATGTGATTCCATTCAGTATGGGTCCAATTGGATCACCATTGAGTAAAGTTGGGATTGAAATAACTGATAGTATTTATGTTGTACTATGCATGATAATTATGACACGTATGCATCCAGATGTATGGAAAGTTATTGAATCTAGTAAGGAATTTGTTAGATGCGTTCATAGTGTTGGATGCCCTACTTCATCTCATCGTAAGTCTAAAAAGATTATTATGTTTATTATCAGTGTAAAACTTTACGTCATGATTTCTGAATTTTTATTGAAACCAATATGCAAGAAAGGTACTGAAAATCAAAAACCTGTGAATGTTTCTATTTTCCTAGTTTGTAACTTAATAATCTTGTGTTATCAAACTAAATTACAAACTCAAGCAATTTGTTTATTTCAAAGAGATCGATAACCCACCTAAGTTGAACAGTTATTAAAAACATGAAAGCATGCGATAGAAAATCCTGAGTTCGATCTTTGGTGACCGGATTATGAGGATAAGATGTTGAAGAGTACTATACTAGGATGAACCAACTGTTTAGTGCTTCTAAATTTTCAATGGTTGTTTAACTTAATTTGATTCGTGATCTCAATTAAATTCAACAATCTCCACGATCCCAATACTCATTATTCCCTACTTCATTATTTTTAGTTGTTTACTTATAATTAACTTTGGTTAAAATGCAAAGCCGTTTTCGAACAAATAATCAGCCAGTTATCGACGGACATATCAGTAAAAACTTCGTTGAGGGATATACTAGAATATAATAAAAATGATTCTATTAATATAAATATATTACTTGGTTATCTTCAACTTGATAAACGATGAAAGTATTTTTTTCACCCTCTTCAAAACGTTAATGAATTATTATCACTTCAGTTTTCTCCAAAATGATAAATTTGCCCTCCATACTGATTGTTTGATTTGAGTTGGCTGTTCATCTTTACGGTCACTGCCTTGACTTCCTAGGGAATTATGTTCCTTCGTTTGCTTCTTTTCTCTTTGCCTTAAGGATACCAAGTATAAGTTTGCTTAACTTTTCAGTTTGATGATTGCCGCAATGTATGTTCTACTCATCTCCAGTGTCTTTTCTTAATTTTCTAGTGAAAATGATCTAGATATTATTGCATAGTGAAATCAATAATTAAGTTACAACTATCTTTTATAATGTACAAATGAAATCATTTTTGAATAAAAGTTGTAAAACAATAAACTTTTGACAACTTATACACCAGTTATTTTGGGGTAGACAAAGTGTAGATGTAAATAAGCCATCAAGGGAGTTATTGTTCTACATGTAATAGTACGGCTGAGAGTCGGGAGAGTTAGCTTTCCCTCTCGAAATGTCCTCATATGGCCACGTGCATATAACCACTCCCAGAGAAGTCTTATTCACTGTCTTCTCGTGGCAGGGATGTTTTTTACGAAATTGGCAGGATGGAAAGCGAATGTCCGATGCTTTAACCAGGTTGGTGAACACGGAGAGTTTACCTAGAGGAGTTGGAAAACCCTGATTCCAAATCGACGGTCAAAGGTGTTTGCCATGTAGATAACATTGTAATGTTCAAAGCGATAATTATTTAATCTATAATGCTCAGAAGATATGACGTTAACACATCAAAAAACTGATGAATAAATTACTAATCACTATGAAATACTTATAATCTTATCAGTAATAAAGTTTCTCATTAATCTATACTCCTAAATTACTTAGATTGAATGAAAATTTTATTTTATTTAATAATTTCTTAGGTAAAATCGTCAATCATTGGCCATGTAATCCAGAGAAAACTTTAATTTCTCATGTACCTAAAGAACGTTTAATTATGAGTTTTGGTAGTGGTTATGGTGGTAATTCATTATTAGGGAAAAAATGTTTTGCATTACGTATTGCCGGTTGTATTGCTCATGATGAAGGCTGGTTAGCTGAACATATGTTAATTATGTCTGTAACAAATCCAAAAGGTGAAGAGAAATTCATAGCCGCTGCTTTTCCTAGTGCTTGTGGTAAAACAAATATGGCTATGCTTGAACCATCATTGCCTGGTTGGAAAGTACAATGTGTTGGAGATGATATAGCATGGATGCGTTTTGATGAACATGTGAGTACTTAATTTTTTGTATAATATCGGGGATTTATCACATCTATGTTTACAGATCTTAATGACTCTATCTATAACATCATTGAGGCTCAAATTCAGAACTTACTGGTTCACATATCAGAAATTCATTAAGTTGTCTACTGATTTGAGGTAACAGTCTATTATGATTGTTTATAGTTTAAGAAATACTATTAAAGACAATATCTCTTTATCAGAACATAACATAGTTGTTGGAGATAAATGGAGTCTATTCCATCAACAAAGGGTCATTTCAGATGTAATTTTTAGACAGTTTAAATGACCAGTCAAACACTGATATCCTTCATGTTCCTAGTCTTACCGTTATTTGTAAGTGTTCAACAGTTTTCATGTTGAAATGTTACCCAAATTTCTTAAATCCTGTATTGAATTTTAATAATAGACAAGATTTTCACTCATTTGTTTAGTATTAATATATGGTTTAGTGGATAAGGTATTGGACTTTCAGCCAGTGAGCTCTAGGTTCGAAACTCACTCCACTTATTTCGTTTAGGGCAACTGGGTATTACCACTAGCTCTCATACCTAAAATATGGATCTAAGCCAAATACATGAGCCTGCAACTGGCAACGAGTTAATAGTATGAATGATAATAAGTATTATTATTTGTATCTACATCACTTAATATGATTATGTTTCCTGACATATATGTTAGGGTGTTCTTCGGGCAATCAATCCAGAAGCTGGTTTCTTTGGCGTTGCTCCAGGTACAAACGCTAAAACTAATCCAAATGCAATGGCTACATGTATGAAAAACACTGTTTTCACTAATATTGCTCAAACTAAAGATGGTCATATCTTTTGGGAAGGACTTGAAGATCAATATAGTCCTGATACAGAAATTATCACATGGCTTGGTGATCATGTTAAATTATCTGATAAAAGTAAAGATCCTAAAGCACATCCAAATTCACGATTTTGTTGTCCTGCTAATCAATGTCCAATTATTCATCCTAAATGGGAAGATCCAAAAGGTGTACCAATTTCAGCTATAATTTTTGGTGGTCGTCGACCTGAAGGTATACCATTAGTTCTACAATCATTTGATTGGAAACATGGTGTTATGTTAGGCGCAGCATTAAAATCAGAAGCAACTGCGGCTGCCGAATTCAAAGGTAATTTTAATATAAAAACTATTTCATTCACATCAATATTCGTCAATATTTAAACGAATACTTTAATAGAATTTGGGCACCGAGTGTTTAGATCTATCCAACAAAGTGTTTTATCATATTCAATATATGTGCTATTTCTAGTACTTTTAAGCATTTTGTTTACGGTTCATTCACTTGATGTATCTGGGATTAAGCACAACTGTCTGCTATTAATACGCCACTTAGTTGCAATACCATATACCGGATAGAAAATGCGAATTTACTAAAAGTTTTGAATTGTATTGAATATTCTAATGAAAGGTATATTCTTATTGTTGGGGTGATCCAGAAAATTGCTTGCAAGCATCAGGAAACACTAAGAAGCGTTTCATCCAATCAGCGTTCGCTTGAAGTCTTAGCCAAAAATATCAAGGAAGCAAAGCGTCACATGCAGAGGCCCTGATTTGTTGGCTGCTACACTGCTACTATGTTTAGTAGCCTTCCAGAATCTTCTAGCGACCCAAGGACATTTAAAATATTATAAAAACCCTGTATTTTCCGTATTAGAATGAACGTTGGAGTAAACTACTCACACACTTTGAGTCTTCTCTCTCATGTTCGGGTCGCTGTATAGTTCTAGCTTGGGGGTTACCGAATAGCTTAGGAGACGAATATAGCGTTCAATCCGCAAGACTTATCACTTATATTTTAGTATTCACTCACTAAATGATTCGTAAAATACGCAAAAGTGTTAGATACAGTACATTTATTGACCATTGAAAATATGACGGACAAACTAAAATCAAATTTATAAAGAAAACTATTTGAATGCTTGATAATTTTACTTTTAAAATATATGACAAATGACGTATTTGTGTTACTACTGTGATGTGTGTTACTGATGTCGACAGATATAAGTAGTATGTATCCTCGATCGAAAATGAAATCTTGGCGGCAAAAGTTTGAGAAAATCGAAGAAAATAGAAAAGGAACAATGAATGATTGGTATAGAAACGAAGGAACAACAAAGTCTAAGATAACTGATAGATATTTTGCAAATGAAGTATTTAGTGTATGGTACTCATAGTTTACCAAAACATTTTGTAATATTGCATTAACGTACATTTAGTTGTCCCCGATTGTGTTCTTGTTCACTATACAACATTTCCTAAAAGATATTTAGCATTTAATGAACTTCTTCAGTATAGTGATTACATGGTCAAATCATGTATAAAATTGTGTACCTCAAACGAGCGATTTATTGATTTATTCATCCCAGTTCTTCTAACTAATTGGTTCTTTAATAACTTTATTCTAGTGTAAATACACACCCAAGTAATTTTCGACATGATTTTCTGTTGTTGGTAATTTTGTTTTTCCAGGAGTAATCAGTCAGCTGTTGATCATTAAAATACTGTGAAAACATAATTGATTGAATGTTTCTTGAAAATATCAGTTATTTAATTTCTCGGTGTTTTAGTTAACTGTCAGTATACGTGTAGTGAACGAAAACACTAGTGAAGACAATCGAATGTAATTGAATATGAAATTACAGAACATCTTAGTAAAATCTAAGAACTATATGACCAAACCATCCAGCTCAGAGAACAAAACTCCACCAAAATCATCCACCTGAGTTATAAATCTTCTTCACTATACAGTAAATACTTTATTTGCAAAATGCCAATCAATCATCTCAGACTTCACTATTCTTTTATTTTTACAACAATCATTCTCTGTCGTCATTCTCTTCGATATTCTTAACCTTCTGCCGCAAGACATTTCTTATTCGATTGATGATACATAATGCTTATATCTATCGATATCAGTAGTACATACTATATACATATTGTTATTGTATTATAACTACGTTTAACTTTCTGTATTAAAAAAGAATTTATCCTAAACTGATAGGTATACAGTTTTAATATCAAGTAATTAGAAAACTATTCATAAACATTCTAATGATATTTATCATAAATCGTTAAAACTTTAGCCTTTTAAAATCGATTGTACATTTATTGATAAAGTTGGATGAAATTTAATTTTATCAACAGATCAGTTACCATCGATTGAGGAAGCACCTTCAAGGTCGAAACAGATGATTGTTAAACTAAAATGTTAATTATTATACCATATCATGATTGATTTCAAAATATAAATAACTTGGTTACAAACAAACTGGAATGATGAAAAAAATTCACTTGTTTGTTATAGTGATGAGAAAATGACTGTTAAAGAATGTAAAGTTATATGAGATGAAGTGATATTTCATACTCTCCTTACTTACGCTTGCTACTCCCAATGAAGTATAGGCCACAGAACAGAATTCTACAACCCACTGTCTTAAGCATTCCTTTCGACTTCTATTTAATTGTCCATCATTCTTCTCATATCTGTCTCCATTTTTCGGCATAATGGGTTCTTTGGTCTTTCTCTTTTCCTTTAGCCTTTAGGATTGCAAGTAAGGGTTTGGCTTGTGACACATTTGGGTGCTTTCCTCAATATGTATCCTATCCACTTCTAGAACGTCTTGCTGATTTCTTCCTCCGCTGAGATCTGGTTTGTTCTCTCCAATCGTAGTTTGTTGCTGGAAGTATTTGGCCAACGGATCCGAAGTATTTTGCGTAGACAATTGTTAATAAACACTTGGCTTTCATAGTTCTTCAAGTTTACGCCCCATACAGTTAAAACTGTCTTGATATTGAAAGAGATATTAAATCAAATCTTCTTTGATTACCTATATTCATTAACAAGCAATACTATGAAATATCGTGTTCATAAACAGCTGTCTACACAAAATACTTCGGATCCGTTGGCCAGACACTATCAACAACAACCTACGGTGGGAAAGAACAAACCAGATCTCAGCAAGAAGTTCCGGAAGTGGATGGGACTTATATTGAGGAAAGCACCCAACTGTGTCACAAGCCAAACCCTCACTTGCAATCCTCAAGGCTAAAGGAAAAGAGAAAGACGAAAGAACACATTACGCTGAGAAATGGAGACAGATATGAGAAGAATGATGAACAATTGAATAGAACTAGAAAAGAAGGCCTATGACGGAGTGGATTGTAGAATGCTAGTCGGTGACCTATACTCCATTAGGAGTAACAAACGTAAGTGCGGGTAATAGAACCCACTACATTTATCCTGACAGACAAATAACAATAATCGACGATACTGATGATGGATGACATCAGAAATTTCATTAATCACCACAGGAGTACACACCAAACATTTAGAACCGAGCATCTTTAAAACTATGCAAATGATCCCTTAAAAAATTGTTTTACAATTATTTGAATGAATTTATTACTATTACTACTATTATTATTATTAGCTATATTCAATATTATAGATTTTGATACAATATAGAATACACAACATAATGTATTTCAACAAGTTACCGTTTCCTAATTTTTTGACTGATCCTGACAATAAATATTGAGTGATTGCCATTTGAATGTTAGCAGTTCAGTCAATCAACATTTGAATAATGTACAGTGATTTCGATATATATATTGCCGTCAACTACTATGTGTCTGATTTGGCCTTTTACAACTCATACAACGAAAGATTGTATATTTTACAGCATTTTACATCTGAATACATTATGCAATTAGTAGACATCATAATCTATTGAAACAAACAAGAAAAACAGATAACTTGTTGAAATATCAAGATAACAGAAACCGGTAGCCCAAATATTCAAACAGGTTGTCAGCAATCAGCTGAATTCAAGATAAATATGATTAGACAATAATGAGAGAAAATCCAAAGCTGATAGAAAAAAATCTATATTCAATCAATCCCTTCTCTTTCTTATTATGTAATAAATTACTTATTCATTTGAACTGTTTTTTTGATTGGCTACAAATGTTGAGAATTTTTCCCAAGGCCATTTATTGATCGCTCAAATGTATCCCGTACAATGATATTGATTTTGTTTTTCCCACTTTTCTTTATTATCTCTTCTATATTGATTTATTGATTTATTTAATTTTTTTGATAAATCATTAGGTAAACAAGTTATGCATGATCCTATGGCTATGCGTCCATTTGTTGGTTATAATTTTGGCCATTATTTAAATCATTGGCTTAGTATGGAGAAACCATCACATAAAATGCCTTTAATATATCATGTGAATTGGTTCCGTTTAAATAAACAAGGTAAATTTGTATGGCCTGGTTTTGGACAAAATATACGTGTTATTGACTGGATACTTAGACGTGTTAATGGTGAAGATATTGGTGTCAATTCACCAATTGGTATTTTACCTAAAAAAGGTTTGTTCAACTTGTTATTAACTTGTGAATCATTTTTATTTTAATTTAATAGTTGAATCGATAAGTCATTTGAGGCTAAACCATCATGGAAAACCTGAAAATGCTTGACGGTTGTTTCGTTCTAATATGGCACTCTTCAGCAATGGTGCATCCATGATCTCAGGTGTCCAGTACTTCAAATTTTTCCATGGTAGTCTAGTTTCAATTGATTCATGAATTCAACTATTAATTTACTATAATATCTACAAGACCCCCTTTTCTTATTCATTTATTTGTTTATTGTTTTATCGTTCATCAAGGACATAGTAATATAGATAAACATTTAATTGTGTGTTAAAATTTTAATGGGAAACAAAATAGAGGGATAGGTGATATACAAGGATCCCAATGTTAAAAGTTGGATTATAGAATAGAGTTCATATTAATTTAGACGAAACAATTTCTTCGGTATTAACGAAAAAATTGGAAGTGATCAGAAGAAAAATTTACATCAATAAACCAGAAGTTATGAGACGCTTCTCATACTGTATCTACGTACTTTCCCGTATCTCATGCTAAAGTTAGATTTTTGACATTTAAAAGGGATTAAGTGTAAAATCATTGAAAATGAACTGCATTGCAGTTTGTAAGTGGTGAGGGGTCATTCTACTGTGCTATCGATAAACACGCTTCTCATATGCGAACTAGACTAGATACTTGATTGAAAGAGACTCATAGTTGATTAGGAAGCTTTTATTGGATAAACTGAATTAAATACGTGCTCAACTCATTCACAAATATATATATCTGTCTCGCCCCCTCGAATAAAACAAATTAGGCCAGATTTTCAATCAATATTACATAACTATTACCTTAGAAAATGAAACCGAATCTTGATCACTAGCTTGAATCCGTTAATAACTCTTATTTACTTATTTCGTTTTGAACTGATATATCTGATTGACACACCCTGTCAATAAAATAATGATAATCGTATGTCACAGATTGAAATCATGAGTCAATGGAAGCTAGACTACCATGGAAAACCTGGAAGCACTGGATGGCCGTTTCGTTCTATTGTGGAACTCCTCAGCAGTGCGCATCCATGATCCCGCATCCAGTGAGATTCAAATTCATACTAGGACGAAACGGCCGTCCATTAATTTCAGGTTTTCCATGGTGGTCTAGCTTCAATTGATTCATGATTTCAATCTGTGAAATTTCTAAAATCTCCACAAATTAAATGTTTCAGATGACATTTTAACATTAGATCATCAAAAGAAAAATCATTGGAAAACTTGAATTAAAGTCAACAATATCTTTCATTTATGAATGTGAGAACATTGAATATAGTTTTGATTGTGGCTCTATATTTGATTATACAACTACACTATCTTTTATTACTGTAATATTCTTGACGAGAAATATTGAGACCAGGAAATCAGTGTTCTTTCGGATTACTTTGTTGAATCTTTGTGACATTTTAAGTAAATTATTTAATTTACAGAAATTATGAGTTTTTGTTAGAGTTTTGTTCTTTAAGATGAATAATTTGGTTGTGGATCTTTCATCATTCTTCTAAATGACATCATCAGCACAAACTTCAGCTCAAAGAACAAAACTTCATTAAAATCATCCACTTGAACTATAAATCTTCTCCACCATCTCAGAAGTCATGAGTATTCATATTACTAATTTTTTTTCAGGCAAGTAAATTATCTATCAGATTACTACCAAGAACGATACCAATTTGTGTAAATCAGATTTATTGTTACGAATCTTTATATGCACTGAGGTTATGGATACATTCATTAAATAGGTAGAATCGTCATTATAGAGTTGGGGAGATTATTAAGTTATTGATTGAGATCATGAACCGATAATTACCACATGCTCATTAATGACTAGCTTGGTGAGGGAATTCTCGAAGTTCTAGTGAGAAGCCCTGACTAGTGGAGCTAATCCGTGTCGGGTAGAGACAGGTTTCTACCTCAGTACAATGGAAGATTGTCGCGCAATTTTGTGAATTGGTTGAGGTTAGACATTAACACTGTTGAATACCGGCTCGTAGTCTAGAGATTAAGCGTTCACACGCGAGACTGAAGGCCCCGGGTTCGAATCCTGCAAGCGAAATCGTGGACGCGCACTGCTTTGAAGTACCACAATAGGACGAAACGGCCGTCCAGTGCTTTTAGGTTCTAGATGATGGTCTAACATCAATTGGCTCATGATCTCAATAAATAAGTTGAGCTGTGATATGAGAAAATAATGTAAATATTTCAAATTTTATGTCATTTCACTTCTCTATTAGTTGTACGATTATAAATCTTACCTATAAGTGGATATAAACAGTAAAAATTCTCTGGTTAATTATAAGAATACATTTGATATTGACTTAAAAATGTAATCATAAACTAACATTACGTTCTATTCGAGACTCGTCAATCGTGTATGTACATTTTCTTCTCATTGGAATGTGTACTCTCTACTTATCGAATCGAATACACAAATCACATTAACCATGAATATACAGAATTAAACATCGAAGGTAACTGTCTATTAATAGAGACTAATTGTTCTAATATATCAATGTGAAATTACAAACCTTCTAATGAGTTATTATTAAGTGGCTTATTATTATTCTTTTTATCACAGGTTCAATCAATTTCGATGGTATAAACGTTGATTGGGATGAGAATTTTTCATTGCCAAAAGATTATCTTTTAGAGGATGTTGATGAAACAATGAAATATTTACACGAACAAGTTGGTAAAGATTTACCAGCTGTTATTCAAAATGAATTAAACAATCAACGTGAACGTATTCAATCTCAACTTTAAATGGTAAATTTCATTTAACAATTAATGACAATACTGAAACTTGATCATTGAATCATGATCAATTTTGTATTTGTTTAATCATTTAATATTGAACGAAATTTATTAATTATTCAGTTGTAAATAACTCAGTCTTACAGAAGGTCATTCATGGTCCAAATAATTCGGTAGTGGTGTTTTAGACTGAATCGAATTGATGTGAGCTCGAACCCTACAGGGAGTAACAGCTTTCTCCAGATTACAAATACGTCTTACTACAAGGTTGTGGTGACCAGCTGAGTGATTCTAATGTTGATAAGTTCTCTGTGTTAGATTATTTAGTTATGAACCGATTATAATCTTTTGAAACAATTTCATTATCAACTTACTTTGATGTGTTTACTGCGCAGCAGTTCGTTCCGTCCTACTTTATGGCAGTGAAACATGGCCGGTAAGAGTAGAGGATATTCGTACGTTACTAGTATTTGATCATAAGTGTCTTCAAAACTATGCTCGTATATCCTGGGACCATTGAGTAAGTAACGCAGTTGTTAGGAAACGGGTATTAGGTAAAGGTGGCGAATCAATTGATGAAGTAATAAAACTTCATCAGTTAAGATGGCTGGGATATGTGTTGCGTATGTCCGACTACCGACTGCCCTGACATGCGATGTTTTATGGTGTAAGAGTAGACTGGAAGATTTCACTGAACAGTACTAATTTCCAGGTTCATAGTCTGAATTAGTAAATTCGAATTACATAGCCTAGCCAGTAATGAATGCATAAACCGCCTCAAGATCACAACGGGTATATCAATATTAGCATATTGTCTGCCAATGATGAAATCAATGACCTCATTGAGATGCTGTTATCCAAAGATTGTATAATGAGTAAATTTACTCAAAAAAACATCTTGATCTGTTTAAATAACAGTTAATATTCTAATATTGAAGCCTTAATCAATTATAACTCTAACAAACTACTGTATTTTCTAACTGAAGATGTTCCTAAATATCACATCCAAAATCTTCAACTCTATGTATATATACTTTATTCCTAGTTCTAGATAGACATCATCAATATAGAGCTTAGCACAGATACATATTGGTAGAAATCGTCTAATCCTTTAGCGCAAGCAATCATTCATTTCTTCTTTCTAGTTCTTGATTGGTTAGAATTGTTTGACATCTGAAGGATCCTTTAAAGATTGGAATTATATAGTTCAGCGTTAACCTTATCCTTCTGATCCAGTTGTATATATTAACAAATATTATTACTTCAATAGTTGAGATCATGAGTCAAGTAAAGCTAGACCACCATGGAAAACTTGAAAGCACTGAAAAGCCGTTTCGTTCTATTGTGGGACTCCTCAGCAGTGCCCATCCACGATTTCACCTCACGAGATTCGAACTCAGGACCTATCAGTCTGGAGCCAGCATCTAATGGTGTTCATGCCTAACTTTAACTAATCCACGAATTTGAGCGATACATCCATCATTGTCTTCAATGAGTTACTATCTCACAACAGACCTGGTTCAACTTCACTAGTTATGGTTTCTCACTATAACTCCAGGAAATACCTCTTGAAGTCAATCACTAATGAGTATACATATATATATATATATAATATCAGAAGGGGTTTTTGTGGATAGATTACAGTAATTAGCTGTGTATACAAATTGTATATATTCTATATGCTTTCTTATTTTTTTCTCACAACTTCTTAAAGAATAAGTCAGAGGAAGAAGAAGACGACGACGACGATGATGATGAAAAAGAAGAAGTCAATGTCTAATCATTTTCTTCAACTTTATGTGCTTTCTAATTTTTTTTTGTTTTTTGTTGCTGTTGTTATTGTTGTTAGCTAACTTCTATTGTTGTTCGTAGACATTAATGACAACTTGTTCTTTTTGTTTTTGTATTGCTTTTAATATTACTACTACTACTCATAATGATATTCATTTATATTGTTATTACTGTTTATATAGTAGTACGCTTAATATTTTATTGTGATTCATCGAATCTTTTTAATGAAAATACAATACAAACAATTTATTTCTTTCTCTGATTTCTTGATTCATTATCGTTCCGAATGATTGATTCGATCATATTTATGAAATGTTAATGTTGGGGGCATATTAAGACTCCTAAGTAAAGGTTGAATTGATATAATGAAATGTTTTGAACAAGACGTTAGATTCAATGTGTGACTGTGGATGTTGTTATTATTATTGTTATTACATCCGGAAAGGTTTTAAAATGGTATTATTTGGATTAGTTTTTGTTGTGACTATGGACTGCAGATTAGGGCGAAGCGTATTATCGATCGGACCAAAGACGCGTAAAACACGTAAGAACGACCTAGAGTCCTGATTGACCCTGCTTCTCTGTCTAGCCCAGCCCAGTTGAGTCCAGAACGCAAGTCTCAGCCTCGGAGATATGAAACGCTATATTTCAAGCATACTCTGTTTATATATCAATCAAGCAGACCACATCGTAACATAAAATAGAAAATAACATTGTACAATATTGACCAGTAGGAAAACGACACGTGAAATAAAGATTGACCAATAAGAAAGTGATACCATTTCAAGTCTAAAGGATAGCGTTAGACTTAAGGGAATAATTTTTGGGATATTTTTCTGAATATCCCAACAGTTTTATCGATAGTTATGTTAAGAACAATGGTTGTTAGAGGAAAATATTCGTTGTTCTACTTAATTTTTAGGATAATTATGTAACACAACCCTTGTGGTGGTGGTTGTGGTGGTGGTGGTGTAGTGAACGAGAACACAGCTTGAGGCAACAGAATGTAAATATCATAGGTTCAATACTTCATTTGTAAAATATTCCTTCATTTTCATAATAATCACTCATTGTTTCTGTTTTCTTTTATTCGACCTTCTTAATCTTTGAGTGCTAGACATTCCACTTTCGATTGGTGTTACATACTACTTATATTTGTCGACATATGTAGCATACACACCACAGAAGTACAGTTAATAAGTAAATATCAAGAAAAAAATATATTTGAATCACATTTATCATTAGACAGTAGTTACAAGTTGTTCTTTACTATGCAATTTTAAATGTTAATGTAAAAGTGACCGCAATTAGTGAATACTATGGGATTACCCTTCAACACTATACTCCTTCGTATTATTAGCTCAACATCTAATCATTGGGAAGACAAACCTTGACCTAAATTTGTGAAGAATCTATACTCGATGGTGAAATGTCGCATATTTTTAAATATTAAAGTACACTTTACAGTGATTATTAATTAAATTTAAATAATTTGGACTTAAATGAATATCATATGCTGAATGAATTACACAACAGACATTCTCAGATGGATAGTGGCTAGCAGTGAAATCCTAGACGTGAATTTCGTCCTATTTGGGACTAATCAGTTGGATGTACCTGCATCTCAGAGTTGATGTTCATTCCAGGACTTGAATCCGGTACCGTTCATTTCAAACAACATCGCGTTATCCACTTATCTACTGAGTCCTAATAGTCACTTGCTTGTGCAATAGGGTCAAGTTAAATACTATTGCAAATTTACAGATGTTCAATCTCGAATAACTCTACCTGTAACTTTTCTATAATTACTGCTGCTCCCAAGCCAGTTTAAAGGACAATGGTTGGTCATGAGGTTAGCAACTTTATCTCGTAGAAAACAATATTGCTAAAAGTAAAGCATAACCTCAAATATATTCAAACTATTGTTTACTTTGAAGAAACCACATGCACTTTACAATAGTTAAAATGATTTAATTTAAAGTCGAATATTTATCCAAATTTTCCTATTCTACTCGATATTGTCATAATAGTTACTGAAATGACTATAGATCAAGAAATATAAGACAGATTCGATAGAATTCAGATAGTTGGTTATCCTGAACATATGAAACTTATGATAGACAAAGCTATTTCTGTCTACGTTTTGACTGTTATTGTTATGTTTGTGGAACTGCTTAACTGACTGATGTTTGGTGTGAAAGACCTTAAATCTAACAATATGCAATGAAAACACAAAGACTGTTGATTGGGATTTTTTTGATCCCTGAAGATAAATCAAAATAGTATATGAATAAACAACTTTTTATATGAGCAGAGATGGATAGTGGCTACCAGTGGAATCCAGGACGCGCGTTTCGGCCTGTTTGGGACTCGTCAGCTGGATGTACCTGCATCTCAGAGTTGATGTTCACTCTGGGACTCGAACTCAGTACCGTTCGCTTCAAACGCCATCGCGTTATCCACTTAGCTACTGAGTCCTGATAGCCACTTGCTTGTGCAATGTGGTGATCAACTTCAGTCCTAAAACATCAATGGGAAGATTCAAATAAAACAATATCAAGTGAATTAAACTTTTTATATGGTTTGAAATGAATCGTATTGAATATGGATTAACCGATTGCCTGCTATTTGAACACATTTCCCATATCATGTGGCTAATCACCTGTAATGAATAAACAGGATTAATTAATTAAGCCATATGATTATTACTATTCATGATGCTATTACATCTCACAGGCGATCGAAAAGACTCAACTTCATGTATCATTTACATTGTGATCTATTAAGCCAGTGTTCACTATACCAATGAAACTTAAAAAGTAGGGATTTTAGCTTATTGATTGATGGAGAAAAATTACAAATATTAAGAAAGCATACAATTCGGAATATTTCCAACGCAAACTCTTAATAGAAAAGAACTTTTTACTATCATGCCAATGTTACTCATTTGTATGTAAAGTTCAGATAAATGAAGTTGGGCAATAGCTATCAGTGAAGTCCAGAACATGTATTTTATTCAATTTAGAACTCATCAGTTCGATATAACCACATCATAGTGTTAATGTTCCCATCGGGATTGAAAACTAATATTTTTCGTTTCAATTATTTGAGTAAACCATTTCTTGTATTCCTCAATCCCATAATGGATGACTAAGCATTGAACCTTCTGTAATGCACACGAACGCTTAACCTTTAGACCATTAAGCCAGAATTTAAAAGTGTACAAGCCCAACTTTAGTTAATCCGAAATATTGCGCAACTGTCTTTCATTGTATTCAGTGGGTAACTACCACATATACAAGATTTTCGAATACCACTTGTTACAGTTTTTCACTAGAACTCAAGAAATCTACTCTTCAATGAGTGTATGGTAATTGTTATTGTGTGGTTTTGATGATAATTAAAATCACGAACCGATCTAATTTAGACAAACATTACAAACATGGAAACATTATTTTTATTTAAACACATAAACATTGGTACAAGGAAGCACCAAACAGATATACGTCACATAAATCATTCTGTTTGTGTGAGGGCTGAGATACTACCCGAGTGCCCAGAACGAAGTAGGTGGTTTCCTTTGGGGGCCACACACAGAGCCTTCGACCTAAAGATCTGATCAACAAGGCAGTGGAGTAACGTCAGGAGATGCAGTCTCATGGTAGCCGGTCACCAACGACTAGTTCGTACGCCATTTTTTCCTTCAGGATAATGGAGCCCATGTTGACCAATGAACTCTTGGTATCCGCCAATCCGGTTAAAGCCTCTGCCAGACATTCGATTTTCATTGTCTCAATTTCGTTAGCGACAATAATACCGCGAGAAGACAGTGAGTAGGACTTCCCTGACAATGATTGTATGCACGTGGCCATGTGAGAGCATTTCGAGAGAGGCGGGAGCGGACTCTCCCCACTCTCGAACGTACCAGAGCATTTTAGGGCTATGATGTTCTGTAATTTTGTATTCAATTACATTCAATTGTCCCCGCCTGTGTTCACGTTCACTATACGTATGGTCTGTATTTTATTTATAGTTTATTCAAGGGATATGAACGTCAGATCTAAGTTTATACCAACTAGTGTATTTCTCATTGAGAAGAATATTTGAATGTAGTTGGGTATTTTAAACGTAATTAGTATTAGGTGGCAATAAATAAGATAATTCATCATAATAACAATTTTTCCTTTAATTTTTTTTAAAAAAAAGGATAAAGCTGTTTTTGTTACCACTTGGAAAATGAATAGACATTCTTAATCAACCAATCATGTCTTCGTTAATAAATACAGGCCAAGGCTACAGGATATATTTAACAAAAGTCGATAAAATACACTTAGGAGGTTTGATATGTAGATACAAGGTAAGGTTACAGATTACATCATACAAAAAACCGAATAAATGACTTTATTTTATCCAGTAAATTCGATGATTATACCAATGAACTTTGACTAATTGAACAGTTTCATTGAAATTCTGTAGTGATTAAAGTCAAACAATCATTGTAAACTTGAAAGTAATCAATGAGCGTTTTGTCAGTATTAGACTCCTCAAAAGTACACATTTACGATCTTTCAAGTAAGAATCAAAATTAGGACCTTCGATTTCGTGCGTTAATCCTTAGCATCTCTTGACCTCTGAGTTGAAATCAAATAGTGTACAAGTTCAACTTCAATCAATCCACGACATTGCACGACCATCACCTATTGTATTCATTAAGTAACTGCTTCACTTTCAACATGGTTTAGCTCCACAGGTCATGGATGCGTACTGTTGAGGAGTCACATACTGGAATGACACGACCGTCCAGTGATTCGAGGTTTGTAATGGTGATCTAACTTGTCTCGATTGATGATTTCAATGAGATTCAACAATCTCCACAATATTATACTGACGGTTGATAAATTGTGTATTAATGTGAAACTCTAGATTCCAATTTATCTAAATTACTTGAATGATATTATATCTTGAATATCAACAAGAAAATATAAAATATCATCAGCACAAACTTTAAGTAGAAGTGAGGCTTGTGCTGACGATATCGTTCAGAAGAATGATGGAAGCTTCACAACCGGACCATTCAGTTGAGAGAGAAAAAATTCACCAAAAACATATGGTACTATTGATAATTTCCAGAAATCTGTTTTCATGCACCTCTCCGTTCCTCCATCTTGAAAATTCGTCAGCCCAACCTGAAAACAAATAACATTAAACTAATTGTTCCTAAAATCTATTAAAAACTAGTTACCTTTTACTAATCTA